TGGCACTTCATAGGTAGTGATGAGTTTAATTTGGCGTACTATTTTAAGCCAGTAATCTTGAATGAAGGGACATTCCCACCAGGCATGAATATAATAACCTTTTTGAGAGCATTGTTTCCAACAATGAGGTTGTATATTAGGATTTACATGATGTAACTTAACTGGAGTCAAATACCAACGAGTTAATAACTTAAATTATAATTGCTTAATGTTGATTATGTTTGGAGAGTAAGCACTTGAGAGCCAAATGTCGGACCATTGTGAGGTTTCCATTTTATGACGCACATGTCCTGACCCGACAAAGTCCAATTTATGTCAAATACGGCCCTTGTAAGAAAAGAGTTCGACACCCCTGGACTAGGGTATTCATTTTAGAGTGACTAAAATTTAGTAAGCATCTGAATAAGTCCTTTGTATTTTAGGTTGTGAACAATCAAGCGTTAGTTTTCTGCAAAAACTATAACAAAAAACATTTGAAATTTCTTTGTATGTGTATATTTAGTTAATTTACTGCACCACAGTAAAAACGAATATTCTGGATCTGCTTAATTTCATTTTGCAAACCCCCCCCCCCTGAGAATTTGCTGATGAGTATATGTATGCAAGGTTGGCTGGCTGTACACTGTTTTGGCTAATCTCAAAGCAAGAACATGTTTATCTGCATTCCCCAGAGGCTTTGCTTGATGTTTCTACTGCATGAGCTACCAATGCTGAAGAGAGAGGTTCCTTTTCCAGTAAAGAGTGGATTGTTTTTTGCTTGGGAAACTGCTGTAGTAGAATAGTATGTGAAGGTTTGGATATGTACAGTTACTTCTCATATGCATATACTGGTAGTTTGGTAGCCCTACTCATGTGAAGGATTATGGAAATATCGCTGCAGATGTTAGATGTAGAAATTAAAAGTGGTATCATGGTATTTCACATTATTTTAAATAAATCAGCTAATTATTCTGAAAGGTTTAAAATTTTCCTTGACCTCTCCCTCAGGCATCACTTGTAGGGCTAGCTAAATAAAGTAATGTTAGGCTGTGTGTTCAGATTTGTTGTCACCCATATGATGGGCACAGGACAAAACTTTTTCAGTTCTTGTACAAGAATACTTGCAGTTGCTATTTTGACAAGTTATTGTTTCCTTATACCTCTTATCCACTGTCTGTGAATTCTATAGTCTTTCTTGTTTGGGAATTTCTTTCCAGTTATTAGAAGAGCCATAAAGAGGCAGGTTATGATTGTATGTTTACATGCTCCAAATCTCATTAATTTAGGATTACTGCAATCATTACTGCAAACAGCGTGTCCAGCAGGGCGGGATACAAATAGAAGCAATAAATAAAATAAATCATTATCTTGTACAGCTTGAGGTTTTGAAGCGCTTGATAAGATGCAGCCATTTGAATTCCCTATCAGGAGGCTTCCTGAGAGGCAGCATGAACACCAAGTCTCCAAGCAATGGCTTAACTCTAAGGGACAGTCAAGCAGGCAATCAAGGGACAGTGAAGCAGCAACAGAGCAGCTCCTAGCTGCTGCTGTTGCTCCATCACTCACCAAGTGAGAGAGGACAAGTAGGGATTGGTGGCTATTGGGTATTGGTGGAGTGAGTGGGCATTGGTGCTGAGTGGCGTGCCTGCCTGGCCCTGAACCCTCCAGTAACTGTAAAATCATGCGTACTCCTGTCTAGGGATGGGCACAAACTGAATTTTGTGATGAACCAAGCCCGTTTGTGCATTCGTGAACCATGATGCAGTTGCATTATTTGCGAACCACCCATTATTTGCGAACCACCCATGAACTGCCATAGTTTTTGCTGCAGTTCATTTGGTTCATAAGAGGGTTTGTGGCAGTGCTACATGAGTGACCTCAGAAGGCATTTAAATACCTTCTGCCAGCTCACTTGCGTCACACTGTGGTGGTGGCACAACTCTTGCAAGTCAATTCAGACGCAAGCCAGTTCAGTGATGCCTTTCACTCAACCCATGGTGAATTCCACCCTTACACTTTAAGTGGGTTTTAACAGCAGGTGCTGCATGGGAGTGGAGTGAAAGCAGCAAACGACGCTTGGACTCCAATCCCGTGTGGCGCCCACTTGCAAAACCCATTTAAAGGGAATGTTCCCTTTAAATGGGTTTTACAAACTGGTTCATGAACTGAACTGGTTCATGAACTGGGGGATGTCCGAACCAGTTTGTGGTTCGTGCAACATCATGAACCGCAAACTGGGACAAACCTCCATTTTCCCGGTTTCTGCCCATCCCTACTCCTTTCACCAGCCTAATGTATTCTGTTATTGTCTGTATGTTAACAGTGAGAAAGTATTTATAATAAAAACTGGTCTTTAGCTTTTCAACAGTTTGTGTACTTTGTTATAGTCTGTTGCCTTTCCTCCTTATAGTGGATGACAGGTTTAGCATGGTCTGGCTGCACTTCTTTCTTTCTTTCTTTATTTACATGTGATTTCTATACCGCCCATGACCCCTAATGGGTCTCAGAGCGGTTTACATTAGACTACGTTTGTAGTCGAATCCTAACTAGGGCCACAATTTGTGCAGGGAGGGGTTACCTAGCAGCACCCGGACGGCGGCTTTCTCTCCTTCTTGGCGGCTCAGGCACAGTCTTGGCGCTCCGGGCAATCGGTGACCATCGGCGGGCTTCTTGGTGGATCCTCCATCGGCGCGCACTGCTCTGGACTGCGGCTTTCTGGCTACTCGTCCCTTCGGGCTCCAGCCGCGCCGCATCGCCTCGCAGTTGCGTCATCCGACTCCGCCTTCATCTGATGTAGTCGTCGCCTCCACGGCTCGTCGGACAGCGCCATTGTTCTTCCTCGCCGCCGCTTCTCTTGCTGCCGCCTCTCTTTCACATCTCCTGTCACCGTTGCCGCTGCCATCAACCCTCCTGGCACGGAACCAGGAGGAGGGTGCCCCCTGCCTCTAAGGCAGGTACCCATTTCTCTACTTGTAGTTACTTTCGAGCCGCTGGGTTGGCGGGAGCTGGGACTGAGGGCCTGTAGTTCACTCCGGCCGCGGTGGGGATTCGAACAGCCATTGTGGCTGTTCGCTATGATGTTACTGGCAGGCGTCGAACTGCCTGCGCCACCGCTCTGTTTTATCTAGTGTTATTTGTTCCTGAGACGTTTGTCCAAACATGCCACCCTTAACTCTCCTCACCATGCATTCACTCTGTGGTTGAGCGTTTAAGATTATTGCTGCACGGTAACCAGAGTGGGTGGTTGGGCGGCCTCCTTTTAAAAACTTGCCTTTTTTCATGCACACACAGAAGCATTCATTTGAAGCACCACTCCTCCACCAAGTACTGCAGCCACCCTCAGCCTCCTTTTCTTTGCTTCTCTTCCTTGGAATACATGAGGTGGGCTGGCTGGCTGCAATGCGCTAATATTTGGCTGGCGTAACTTGCTTCCAGTGAGCATGGTAATACTGGTTCTGTGCAGAAATTTAGTTAACCAATGTAAGCTTCATTTGTTTGAGGAACGGAAGTCTGTTATTAGCATATGTTTACTGATAAGTTTTATGCAAGTTCTGCCTTTTGGTATATTACAATTACAAGGTATTGGTTGGTTCACAGCTGGGGTTGAACAGACTTCTCCTGTTTCATCCCAATTGAAATTAATGTTATCTTTACTGCCATTGCATTTGGTAGAACAAGGAGCAGAACCTAAGAAGAGATTGTTCCCTAAAGAGACTGGATAGGATAGAAACAATTTTCAAATTAGATATTTGTGTACTGGAAATAAAAATAAAAATAATAAAAACCGGTTTTCAGAGCAAAGCACTCATCATAGGAATTGCTTCCCCCTCCCCCCTTTTTTGCTTTTGTGTGAAAGGGGAGCACAATTGCACTTTTCTGCATAACAGGAATTAAAAAATAGCAACTGTGTCAAAACTAGCCATTTTTGAATCAAATAAAACTTTAAAAATGGGTTCATCATACACAGAGCTAGTTTAGAGGAGCGGTCTGTCCTGAGTATGCCCAATCTCAGGATTGTAGAAGTTCACAGATATTGGACCTATAAGCACTTTTGGGGGGTTAGTCTTAGTAGACTGAAGAAATACAACACTAGAAATGTGTATCTTTGTCAGACTGCTCATCAGATGTCCTATAGATTAGATTTCAGTCTGAACAGCGGTCTTGAGGGGGAGGAGGATCAAGAACTGGTTGCATTATTCCCAATTCACAACCCCTTTGTGTGCATGGTAGTATGTGGGCACTTTGTTGCCCAGTCTGGAGGGGTTAGTATTTTTTAAAAGATATAGGTCTGGGAACTCCCCCCCCCCTTGCCTCCTGAGAAGACAGTGCTTTGCTGTAGCTGGTCCAAGCTGGTGGGGGGCCAGTAATCACATATGTCACATTTACCTTTGAAGTGATCTCCACACTATATAAGCGAAGTATGTATGTACATTGTCTCTTGATGCCATTGTAGTTTTTTCTCTTTACACTGATTTTAAAATGCCTTTTTTGTCTTGAATTTCAGTGACCTAATTTCTTGACAATAAACTCATTTTAATTATTTTTCCGTATGTGTTTGAGCCTACCTAAATACTTAAATGGGTTATTGTGCTATCTGCTGCTTGTAAAAGGATTTTTTTAAAAATTTAAGTGAGGAATTTGGGCATTCCCGAATTCCTACAGTGCAGAAAGAAAAGGATAAAATGTTAAGGCCTACTTAAAGAAGTGGAAGCTGCCAACTACAGATTTTGTGAGGTTTTGTGTTTGTTTACTTTGGAGGATAAGTGTGAGAACAAGATTTGGTAACAAAACCTTTCTTCCCCTGAAACATAATTTAAACAACATTTTTCTACTTTACAAATACTGTAACATTCTAATTGGTAGAGAAATAATATATAATGAAAATTACTGGCAGATATGCTTCATGTATTTAGTGACACATGGAATCTGCTTCTTTTATTTTATTTATTACATTGCTGTACCACATCCTCTCCTCTATTATCTTGGGATGATTTAGTGATGCATCCACTGATTTATTGCAGCCATCTCAATTTGTCTTGAAGGTTTTGACAGAGGAAAGGAGGACACATTGCAGAGTAAAGATGATTCCACACAGTCAATGTCAAAAAGCAAGGTAAGAGCATCAGCACAATGAGACTATAAAAAACGTAGTAGTCGGCTGCATTTAAATGAGTTTGTCTAGCTCAGTCTTTTCAAGACTTCTCAGACTGTTTCAATGTATGTTTAACCATATGCAGTTTTCTTTATTTTTGTACTGTAAGTCTGTATGAAGAAAATACATGCTTTGCAATTTTGGCATTTGGCATTTGTAAAATTTAAATAATTGATCTATCTTCAATACATTGATTCTGAGTCTGCTAGCACCTAACAGTACTATGTTGTGAAAAGAAGCCAAGTCCTATTTGCATCATGACTTTACAACCCTTTTCATCCATGGCCTACACTGCCATTCATGAAACCATGATAGTAACCTGGAATGACACTTAAGGGGAATGAGGTAAAGGTAAAGGTTCCCTTGCTCGAAAGCCAGTCGAGTCCGACTCTAGGGTTGCGGTGCTCATCTCCGTTTCAAAGCCGAAGAGCCAGCGCTGTCCAAAGACGTTTCTGTGGTCATGTGGCCAGCATGACTAAACACCAAGGCGCATGGAATGCTGTTACCTTCCCACTGAAGTGGTACCTATTTATCTACTTCAATTTCTTGCTTTCAAACTGCTAAGTTGGCAGGAGCTGGAACTAGAGACAGGAGCTCACTCCGTCATACGGCACCCGGGTCTCGAACTGCTGAACTACCGAACTTCCACAGCCTGCAGTTCAGCGTCTTAACCACTTGAGCCACCACAGCTCCCTAAGGGAATGAGGAAGTGTTTAAATAGCACAGGTTCTGTAGTTTTAAGCCATTTAAGCACGACAAGGGGAATCTCCTCTACATGTATTCCCTGGATTAGAAGAAGATTGAATTTATACCCTGCCCACTACCCAAAGGAGTCTCAGAGCAGCTTACAAACTCCTTTCCCTTCCCCTCCCCACAACAGACCCCCTGTGAGGTAGGTGGGGCTGAGAGAGCTCTGATAGTAACTGCTCTTTTTCAAGAACAGCTGTGCCAGAACTATGGTGTGCCCAAGGTCATCCAGCACGTGCAGAGGATTGGGGAATCAAACCCAGTTCTCACAGATTAGAGCCCGCACACTTAACCACTACACCTCTACATATAACTTGTTGTTTTTAATTATAAATTAATATTAAATGATATTTATTTACAAGCTGTTGATAAAGTAGGGTTGAATAAATGATGGTGGGTCTCTCATGAATTCTGTTTACTATTAAGCTAAAGTGTTAGGTCACACACTTTGCAGTTTAAAATTTTAAATCCAAGAATCACTATTGGCTTACCATTTATTATGCTTTACTTGAAGATGTGTGCAGCTAATTGGATTATTTGCCCACTGTATATCAGGTTTGACCCTTATCTTGAAAATTAAGCAGGAACATCAATATACACAGTGATGCGGAGCCTGGAAATTTAATTTTCCTTATACCAATGGAAACAGATACTGAGATTCATGAAAAGCAGCTTCTGAAGCATCACCAGCTGTGTGTATGAGTACTGTTTTTGAGAAAAAGAGCATGAAACCTGAATGTACCTGTAAAGGGTATCTGTGAAAAGGGTTTTTTGTGTGTGTGCTAATTTATATATGAATCTTTTGCCGCAAAAGCAGAGGAGATCCATTTGAAAACTTAAATTTGAAGATATAAGGTGGCTTTGAGACATTAATGGCCTTCCATTCATTTATCAGACTTTATTGGTTCCTGGAAGTCTTGCTATCAAGCTAGTCTTGCTAGGCAGACGTTTTTTGGTACACAGAGAAACAAATACCTTGTAACGGATCCAAAGGTTATTTATAGTCAGTAGCAGATGCTCACTGAGGAATTCCTAGTGACTTAACTTGAGTACAAAATCAACCGGTGGTAAATGATAGACTGCTGTAACAGTTCTACAACTTCAGAACTGTTATAGAGTTCATCTGCCCTTCTCATCTAGTTTTTCTCCACTTATTGAGCAGTAGATGCAGTGAAACCATTTTTAGAACATTCAAGACAGAATCAATAAAAAGCATGTAGTTTCACAGCAGCACATTGCCTACCTGTAAAGGAAGTCTTATGTTTTAATAACTTAAAAAAATTGATATGGGTTTCAGGTGTCTTACTGGGGTGAACATGGATCTCTAGAAGCTTAGTGGTTTTAAATGACAGCAGTATACCATGCTCAGTGATAAAGTATAAAAATAGTCTGGAGAAGCCCTGTATTTGTTTTGATGGGGCAAGGGGTAAGTTCTCTTGTAGCAGTGAGCAGAAAGGGTTTTTGTTTTGTTTTTTGCATTTGTAAAGTCCATTTACTGTGTTTTCTCATTTTTTTTTGCTCCCTGTACTTCAGGCTTCTCATTTGGTAAAACAAACCATTCTACTTTCATTAGAGGATGCTTCCAGTCTGTTTTAATCAATGGAAATTACATGTACATAACTGTAAAGGGTATAGAAGGATGTAGCCTGAGAAAAGGATTGACTTATTTTATTATTTCCTTCTATAATTATTTCAGTCAGAATCTAAGCTTTATAATGGCTCTGAGAAGGAGATTGCAGCCGCCACCACCTCTTCCTCTACAATCAAACTTACAAAGAAGGAGTCTCTTAAGGTGAGTTTCTTTCCAAGGTGACCTTTCATCCAGTCGCCAAATTCCCAACTATTCAGTATCTCCAGTAGACTGTGAAAGTAAATATGAGGAAGACTAAAACTGTAAAGAAACACTGGGTTGTATCCTACCAGCTTTTCTCTTGGTGGGTGGGGGAGAATGAAGTCTCTTCAGTATTCAAAAAGGAATTGTAGAACCTATGTGGACAAAAGCCATGTGGGATGGAGACTGTAGTGATGAGGGGAATCAAGATAGAGACAAACTGAAAGGATTTAATCCACTAGGATATTGCAAGATATGCCACTATTTCAACAGTGTCATAATTTCCACTGGAAACAGTTTCATAAACATGTTACATCCTTAGAATATACTGTTTTTCTAGCATAATGATCCATGGATGGGCACAAACTGGCTCATTAACTAAAGTTTGTGATGAATTTTGGGCAATTCGTGGTTCACAAACTGAAGTTTGTGGCAGGTCAACTGGCAAGAACTTTTCACAAACTTTTAAGCCGTTCATGGAGGTTTGTGAATGGATACATTTCCAGACAAGCTGTCTCTGCTCAAACAAAATGTTTACCAAACTTCAAAGCAACAGAGCAATGGGTGTGGGGGGTGGAATTCTCCAGCCTTCGAAACACCAATAGGTTCCCTGTACAATTGATATTTAGATGTTTAGGCACATGTTTAGAAGTGCAAGCGCCACACATTTTCCCCAAAAGCACTTTCCTGGGGGTATCTTCTTGGGGGGGGATAACTTAGACCCCCTTAAGTCCAATCTGCACATAACTTGGAGGGGATGTATCGAGGGAGGTCTCCTGCAAGTTTGATGTTTCTAACTTGCACAGGATCCATTCTGTATACTCCTGAACCTCCTGAACCTGCGCCTGTCATTTCCCCAGAAAGCACTTTCCTGGGGGCACCTTCCGGGGGGGCATAAGTCGGACTCTGTAAATCCAATCCTCACCAAACTTGGAGGGCAGATAGAGGAGAGTCAGTCAGAGATCCTATGTGAGTTTGGTGTCTCTAGTTCACCAGGGGGGTGTTCTACCATGTCATGAACCAAACAGATTCATTTGGCAGCTAAATGTTCACGATGGTTTGTGGTTTGTGAACCGGGCATGCCACAAACCACAAACAGAACCATGTTTTCCTGGTTCTTGCCCATCTGTAATTATGTCCACTAGTGCTGGTATGGAAGACATGCAAAAAAAGCTGTACAACTTTTTGTTGTAATATAGACCTACTCACTGAATATGTAAACCTGAAAAAGGATTACACTGTTTTTGTGTGATGGAGTGTTCATTCATGTGAAGTGATTCATGCCAGCCTGAAGTTTACCATCTCAAAGTGAATTCTGCCACAGAGAAAGCAGATATACATGCTATGACTTTACTGCTAGAGACAAAAAGGGGGAACTTCCCCTGAATCAGCCCACCACCATGAAAATAAGTTCTACTAGTAGAAAACTTGAAATAAATGGGTTACCAGCCCTGTGCCTGTTCATGTTTTTCAGGTCTATGTGAAAAATATTCGATCTTAACAGATCTCTGCATTTATTGAAGCAGGGTATACAGATCTTTTAAAACTGTTGACTTTTGTTTTTGTAAACCTATATTGATTCAAAACTACATTCTGTCCCCTTATTTTTACCCTTTGTTCTTTACAGGTTCAAAAGAAAAATTACAGGGAAGAGAAGAAAAGAGCCACAAAAGAATTACTGAGCACAATTACAGACCCATCAGTTATAGTTATGGCTGACTGGTTGAAGGTCAGAGTTTGTCTGCAACTTGAATGAAAGTTGTAGTTGCATGCGGTGTTTGTCTTCCAGAGTAGAAAACAATGAAAATCTTACGTGGGTGCTGAGTATAATCTTATTAACTGCACCCGAGAAGTTTGGCGCTTGAAGCATAGGGATCCCAGGGGATACCTAACTGTTGTTTTATTTGTGGTTGCCATGACTTCATCTGTCTGAGGAGTAACTGGGTTGGTGACCAGTGTGCATTAGATATGTTGTGGATTGCAAGCTGCTCCACTAGTTATAACAAATCAAAGATTACTAATGTCAGCACAATAACAGCTTATTTTAACCCAGGTTCCCTTGTTGCAGACATCCCCCCCTCCTCCATATGTGCAATGGTATAAAATTATACAAACTTTGAATAACTGTGTTAGTGGTGTTATACATATCGCTAATAAGAAGACATAAAAGTAGGGTGGGTGTCAACAGGCAATGTCTGTTGTACAAAGCAGAAATATTAAGCAACTTTCCCTGATCAATAAGACATAATGCCTGGGATATTGCTGCTTGGACTCTACCTGCCTGTATAGGGTGAAGTCTGAGAGGTGGTTAACACTTTACATCTAATTGTTCATCTGTATGCTACTCTTTGTACAGTGAACTTCCAGCAGCATTTTTATCCTCAGTGATGTGCCCAAGCCCCCAAAATGAGCTGCACTGCTTACTGAGGAATCTTAACACTCCTAGCCAATTCTTGTAGTAGACCATGGTGATTTTCTGTTGAGCTGCTTTCTGCATCTGTTTACATGGATGTGTACAACCTAATATCTGGAACACTGAAAGTCTAGCTACGTGGAATGCTGTTCTCAGGTCTGCCCCTGGGTCCTGTCAAGCAGATATGCAATATTCCTGGTTGAAATTTAGTTTTTCAGACACATGGGAGGCTGACATAGATTGGGATTGTGGGGGGAGGGGGCCTGTGCCCTTTGTATCACGCACCATTTCCCTAACCTGAAGTGGCCACAGAGGTGCAGTTTAGCATCATGCAGGTAGTAAGATGTATTCTGGCCAATAAAAGGTTGATGCTTGGGTATTTAGAAATATTTCTTCCACAATGGAATTAATCTGGTTGCTTATATTTTAAAACTGGGGGGGGGGGTTGCCTGAGAAGGGGGACAATGGAATGGCGCTATTATACTAAATTGCAAGCTGTTTTTGTTTTGTTTTTTGTTTTTAAAGATCCGTGGTACACTGAAAAGCTGGACCAAACTTTGGTGTGTGCTGAAACCTGGAGTATTGCTCATTTATAAAACCCCTAAAAATGGCCAGTGGGTGGGAACAGTACTTCTGAACGCTTGTGAACTCATTGAACGGCCTTCGAAAAAGGATGGATTTTGTTTCAAACTTTTCCATCCTTTGGAGCAATCTATCTGGGCTGTTAAAGTAAGTGAATATATATCCTTAATGCAGTTGATGCTGAATGTAATGTTATACCAAAGACTCTCTAAACCTTTTTTCATAGTTAAATATTGAAGGTCTCAGAGTATTTTCAGATGCTGGTTAGCTTTCTGTTTGCTAAACTTGAGTGATTTCGTGACATTTCAGTGTCCTTAATAATTTATAAAATTCAGTGCTTAATTGTTTTGGCACTCAGATATGAATGTGTTTTACTCTCAAGTGTTGCTTGTGAGTCCTGTCTCCACTTTCATCTAATACAGCATTACTACATCCTGCATTTTATTGAAAGTGTAAAAGTACTTCTATTGGGCACATTTTGACTTTGAAAAAAGTTGCTTGGAATATGTGGTTGTTTGGTGTTGGTGTGCCTAGAGTATTATATTATGTCACATATCAAAGAAACACATGCAATGATGTGGCATTATGGGATCCTTATCCCAACAGAAAGGTGTGTGAATAAAGTGTAGAAATTGCAAAACACAGCATTAAAAGGAATCAACTTGAAAGGCTTCATCTTTTGAAGAAACTAACAGAGTTCTTTAATTCTAAAAATACTGCGGCAGGAAAGGGAAAAAAAACCACAGACTAATAACAGGTGCTATGGTTGCACCAGAGAATACACTATTCAACATGGGAGTTCAAGAGGAGTCATATATTCAGATCACAAGGAAGTCTTTTAAATAAAGGACAGGAAAAAATCTTCAAATTTTCTTCCCTTCAGCATAATGTTGTGTGTGTATGAGGGGGTTCTCTAAGTGTGGTAACATCCACATAGGATCACATGAAGAATGTCAAGTCTTTGTTTGAGCGGTAAACAAGAATGGAAATCATATTTATGGTACTTTTGGAGGGTAGAGTTATCAGATTAAAATGCAGTTTTGTACACCAGCAATTAAAAAAAAAAACTTTGTAAATATTACTGAAGCCACTACTCCAGTGTCCTTTCCTTAGCAGCAGATTCAGTAAGCACTGTATCTGCATTTAGTAGTTTAAAAATTTACCTTAAATACATTGAAGATAGGTGAAGTGGATTAGACATTTTATAAACAAATGCATATAAATGGCTTTGTAAAAATTGTCTGGGCAATATATAAACAGATGTTCTACAAATAAAAGATGTTCTGGTTGGCATTTAGCATGTGGAACTAAAAACAACAGAACAATAGTAATCTTCTTCATGGTCTCTGTGCATCACACCCATGGGATTATGCGCCTGCGCTGATCTGAATGGGTGGTATGCAAAGCTCACAAAGGGATTTTCGCGCCTCCCTCCCAGGCATGTGCAGGAACCCCATTGCGCATGCCCAAGGAGGTAGGGTACGGACATCCCGCCAGTTCTCTTCTGACCACTGCGCTGTTAACAGCTTGTTTTCTGCCGGTCGGTGAAGAAGTGTTATTTTTCTCTCACAAGGAATTATCCAAATCGTTGTTCTTTTTCCTTTTTACGACGTTTATTTTGTACTTTACCACAAGAGAGAGAAAAAGACTTTGTCTGAGGGCTGCCGCCCTCAGACGGCTTCCCACCTTCCCCCCCACTCTCTCTGAGGTAAAATTTACTTCGCCTCATATGAGAGCCCTCTTTTCTTTTCATGGCCATTTTTGCTGTTTTATGGCCGAAAAGTGGGGGTGTTTTAAATTGTGTTGGCTGTGGTAGCAAACTTGCCCCCCGTGACGGCCACACACTCTGCATTCTCTGCCTAGGAGAAACGCATCGCCCAGACGCTTGCCGCCATTGCGCAAAATCAGAGCTGCAAGGCTTCGAGTGGCACTTTGGGAGTCCGCACTGACCCCCCCTACCTGCCAGAAAGATGTCGGCTGAGACCCCTTCCGACCAACTGACGACACTCTTGTTGACATCAGGAGGTGCACCGGCATTGACCCCCCTTCACCATGCAAAGTCGGCATCGGACGGGGGGGGCATCTTCTAAGCTCTCAGCATCGAACCAGGCCTCTTCCGCCTCTACGCTGGCCAAAAAGAAGAAAAAAGAGAAGCACGTGAAAGCTAAGTCTTCTCTTACTGGTACTGTGCGTAAGTCTCAGAGTCTGAGGGACGAGAAAGTGCAAAAGGGCTCTGCAATGACCCCTCTTCAGCGGTCACAGCCCGACATCGAGGACTCCTCCATACCGGGGCTGCCTACGATTGAGTTACTGGGCTCACCCATTTGGCAACTGAACCCCCCGGTATCGGAGGTCTCCGTTGACACCGGACCGATCTCGTCCTCACCATGGGATGTCAATGACGTCCCATGTAGGCCCCATACAGATTGCTCTCCTTTGGCTGTTTCTTGGGCAAGCGATCAATCTCAACTAGACTCTGGATATCGATGATCCAGATCCCCCAGACGCGAGGGACATTGATATTGATCTGAACAGTGCCTTGGGTACCGTTATTCCAGACCCATGCTCTTGTACTCGCCTAGACAGGAATTGACACCGCATTCCCCGACCTACTTCGACCCACTTGTACCGTGGGACCGTAGGCACAACATGCCTTATTGGTTCACCTCGTATCCAATGTCGGCATCGATGCCATGGCTGACGCCTAGGCCACAGTCGAACTGGGACCGTGGGTCACATCGTTCACGCTCTCCCCAACGTAAATCTAAGCCTTCTGCATCTCAATCCAAACCCCCAGAGGAACCTTGTCGCCCACCCTCTCATCTCCATTCCTCCCCTGCTTTACCACCAAAGGTCGCTCCGATACTGGATACCCCTGTGCCACCAGTATTGCCTTCCAGATCCTCAGTCTCCGATACCGGCACCGATGATTCAGAATGCCTCGAGTCACCTGAGGATCCTTCACCAAAGCCTACATTGTCAGACAATCTACCGATCTCTCTTTCGGAGGATCTTTCTTCATACGGAGATTTGGTCAAGAGGATGCCGCATTCCCCGGGACTGTCGAAAGTCCAACCCCAGCCTTTGGTGTCGGACGCTGTTTTCAATGTCGTGCGAATCGATACCTCCACGTCCATCACCCTCCCAATGTCGACCGTCCTCTTACAGGTGGTTAAGGCCCCGTGGGACAAGCCATCTTCTGCTCCACTGTCGTCCAGACATCTCGATCATATGATTCAGTAGTTGGGCCAGAGAACAAGGCTTGGACCTGGTCGACTGCCTGATGGAAAAGGTCTTCAAGTATCTCCTAAATCGTGTTGGAAGAGGCTTTGCATCCACTTTCATTCAAATTCACCTAGCTGCTGTAGCATGGTTCCACGTTCAGGTTGATGGGAAGTCCCTATTCACCCAAAGGGAATCAAAATGTTTCCTCAAAGGATTACTGAACCAATTCCTTCAAGTTCAGCTCACCGTCCTCCAATGGAGCCTTTCACTGGTGCTTTCTCAACTTACAGGCAAACCATTCAAGTTGACGGCTATTTGACACATTTGCCTACCCATTATGAAAACTATTTTTCTAGTGGTAATAACATCAGACAGGTGCATCAGCAAACTGCGAGCATTGAGTTCCTACCCAAAGAAACATCTAGGTTCTATTTAAAGCAAGATATCACCCTGCCAGTGTTATATCCCCAGCTGCAGGACAAAAGGGAATGAGCATTATTTATTATTTATTTTATTATTTATTATTGAGATTTATATCCCGCCCCATCCAGTAATATATAAACAATATATCTGATATAAAATTTGGTGCTAAAATTATTTACATAAAATCCAAGATGGACGACGTCCCACACTGGCGGCCAAGTTCTTCGTAGCAGGAGCTCCAGGAAGAGTGTTTTCCAGATCTATTGGGCGGCAACTACCCCAACATGGGGTAGGTAGTTAGGATATCATTGATGGAACAGTGACGGCGGCGGCTCCCCCTCAAAGGCCTGGCGGAAGAGCTCCGTCTTACAGGCCCTGCGGAACTGCCCTAGGTCCCGCAGGGCCCGAGTCTCTCCCTAGGTGTTAGAAGGGCCCTCCTCTTCTGTTTAAATATAATAAAATCATTTCAGAGAGAGAGATTAAGATGGGTAGCTGTGTTGGTCTGAAGCAGCAGAACAAAGTTTGAGTCCAGTGGCACCTTTAAGACCAACGAAGTTTAAAAGGTGCCACTGGACTCAAACTTTGTTCTTCCAAAGAGATGACAGCTTATTCATCACTTCAGTAGGCTCCAACAAGGGCAAGAAACTGTCAGCCCAGTTTGTTTCAAAGTGGATAGTCACATGTATCAGATTATGTTATAAACTGGCATGAGTTGACTGCCCACTGCAGATTCATGCCGATTCTACTCAGCCATGTTCTTCATCTACAGCTTTTCACTGTGGTCTCTCTGTTGACTCCATCTGCAAGGATGCAACGTGGTCCTCCTTCTGCACCTTTGTGGGTAGATGTGGATACCACAAGAGACATGGCAGTGGAAAGAGAGGTCCTGTAGTTTCTATCCAACTGAGAGCTTACACCCACTCTCCTCAGACTTGTAACTCAGCTTGTTAACCTCCCATGTGTGACTGTGCAGGTACCACAACAATGCAAACAGGGTTGCACTGACCTGTAACTGTTTGCTGAGTGATCACCTCTGCAGTGATACAACCTTCCCATCTGTTTCACTGTGAGGTCTTAACTCAGTTTGGTACCTCACTCCAGCAGCGGTAGAGAGGAACTGAGGGAAGGGCACTCTACCCTCTCTATATCACAAACTGGAAAAGATGGGAAACAGCTTAGGGAAGGGGGATGGAGTGCCTCTAGGTGTTTTGAGCTTCAAGAAATCCTCTCTGTGACAGACCTGTATGTGTGCAGTACCCATGTGGGACTGCACAGGTGACCACTGGATGAACAACAGTTACAGGTGAGTTCAACTCTGGTTTTTTTCAGTGAATCATCTGTTTTTCTTACTAAACTTCAATTTAGGCTAACACTTTTTATTGTCTGTATTTTAAGGGACCTAAAGGTGAAGCTGTTGGCTCGATAACACAGCCATTACCCAGCAGTTACTTGATCATCCGAGCAGCTTCAGAATCAGATGGTAAATTACATTTTGTCTTTTGGACAGTAGTTCCCAATCTAAAATAATTGTATTTGAGCGCCTATCACTGATGAATGAGGGATGTGAGAGTTTTGAAATATTTATGAACACATTTAACATAGTGTAAATGTTATGTCATAATTCTGCTATGTCCTGTACTGTGTTTGAGCAAAGTGGGAAGAATCATGAACCCCTGTTCCTGAATTCAGAGGGTTTTTTTTAGAAATCATGAGCATGGAAAGTGGCAACACAAATCCTAATATTCTAGAAAGTGATCTAAGCACCTTCAGAAAAATAAATAAATAATGGTAGCGCCTGTATTTTATGTATCTAGCGTAATCTAGATCTTTCTGCTCCCCCTTCTTTCCCTCCTCCTATTTAAAATATTCACAATATGGCATATATGGGTTAAAGCATATGAAAAGATAAGTTGATTTTAAAGAAGGGTAGTGCAGTACAGGTGATCCCCTTAAAATGTTAGCCATAGAAGACTTTGCCTGAGAACAAGAAGGATTCACATGTGTTTTTTAAAATTTGCTTCTCAGAAGGTCACACCTGAAAACTTCAACATTCCACAGGTTTTTAAAAAAACTCAGACATTGGTATAAAAGGGTTGTATTATTTACCACTTTTTCTTCAAGAAGCTCATAGCTCCCAGATACTGGTTAGGCAGAGACACTCCATTAGACACGGGAAGCAGGCTTTGACAGCAGTAAAACCTGCTTACATACTAACACATCCACTTAAATAAGCTTCTGTTTATAGAGTTGAACCATATATGGAGCAGATAAATAGCCAGAACAAGGGAAAAGTAGGAGGGGAAAAAGAAAAAACAGATCTTTTATTGCGTCAAATACTCAAATACTGTATTACTCAGATTACAGTGAGCAATCCAGAACCATGACAATGAAATCTTCCTGGAAAGGATTTTGTTGTAGCTGTATCAATATAATTCATTTCATTGATTTTATTAAATACAAACTTTTATTCATACTCAGTAGATCTGAGTCTTACCAGTGCCTGGATGGGAGACTTCCTTTCTTATGTACACAGCCTTACGGGAACAATTGAAGCACTGTGTCAGTACTTTATAGATAGCACACCAGCAGATGTCCATTTAAGCTCAATTAATTATTTTGCTACCAATATCACACTGCCAGTTGTACATTTTGCACATATTACTGGATTCGATCAATTATTGAAACATGAAATTATTTTATTAAGGAATATAAATGTGTAAATGTACAAAAATACAATTAATACATAAATAATAAATAAATAATAAAGCTGCGGTAGCTCAAGTGGTTAAGACGCTGAACTGCAGGCTGTGGAAGGTCAGTAATTCAGGAGTTCAAGACCCGGGTGCCGCAAGATGGGGTGAGCTCCTGTCTCTAGTTCCAGCTCCTGCCAACCTAGCAGTTCGAAAGCAAGAAATTGCAAGTAGATAAATAGGTACCACTTCGGTGGGAAGGTAACAGCGTTCCGTGCGCCTTGGTGTTTAGTCATGCCGGCCACATGACCACGGAAACGTCTTCGGACAGCGCTGGCTCTTCGGCTTTGAAACGGAGATGAGCACCGCAACCCTAGAGTCGGATTCGACTGGCTTTCAAGCAAGGGAACCTTTACCTTTACCTAATCTTATCAAATGTATTGAAAGTGGCCTTTAATTAATCCGTGAATGCCCCCTCACATATGACCCCCAGAAAATCATTTCCTTGGGTTGCAGGATTTGGACAAGCTAATACTGGTTTGATGGAAAAGACAAGAAGGACAGTTTGCTTCCTTCCCCATCCTCACAGTAGCCCCTGACCGTCATAACTACTAGTGGGGTTTGCAACTCTGGAAATTAACTGGTAGGCTTTGAAGGGATTGCTGGAGATAGGGAATATGGAAAAGATCAATGACCTTCAGTGCCTCCAACCCAGTATTTCCAAGATTCTTACAAAGTATATAAATCTTTGGTGATCTTTGTCGTGGTCTCTATGCATCACACCTACGGGTTAAGGCGCCTGCTCTGACCTTGATCCTGGAAACTTCTATCAAGCTCAAAGAGGGATTTTGAGTCCCTCCCCCAAGCATGCACAGGAACTCCAGCATGCATGCTCAGGGGGCAGGGTTCCAGTATCCTGCTAGTTCTCTTCTGACCACCGCGCTGATCAGTCAATCTGCTTTGGTCGGGGAACTTCTTCTGTGAGGGAAGTCTTTTTTCCTCAAGTTTTTCTCTCTGATTTTGCTCTTCTTTTTCTCTGTATAGTTAGTTTACTCCTACCAAAAAAAAAAAGAGTTTGTGGAAGTTTTTTGTACCCCCCCTCCCCCAAGGAATTTTTCTCTCTGATTTGCCTCCCAGCCTATGGCAAATCATTGGGGCTTTTTAAAGCTCTGCACCCAGTATGGGTACAAGCTCATACTGCCGGACAGACACTCTTTGTGCTTCCTCTGTCTGGGGGAAGCACATGGGACTGATTCCTGTGTCCATTGTGCCAAGTTCTCCAACCAGACCCGAAAGAACAGAGTGGCAAGTCTCCAGGTGGCCCTATTGGAGTCAGTGCTCCGACTTAAGCATATGGCTTCTACCCCCGCTGAGGTAACTCTGATGATGCTAATGGATTGGCCTAGATCTATGCTGATGGATCGGCATTGATTGACATGGAAGGATCGACCGTTATCATTGGATGCTTCAGCAGCAATAGTGTCTATGACCTCAGCCTCTACTTGGAAGGCTGCGATGCCTACAAGCCCATTGGCGTCTTTGATGCCGACGGTGAAAAAGAAGAAAGAAAAGAGCCACACTAAGATTAAGCATAAACACCTTAAGACGGGCTCCAAGGCTGCAGCATCGGGCCCGCTCAGTCACACCAGATCTGATGAAAATGCCAGCTATTCTGCCTATCATGCTGTTGAACTCTCCCATCCACCAAATAGATCCACAGAGGGACAGGTCGATACCAATGGACCTCCAGTTTTTGAGGTCGGATGTGGAGGAAGTCCCTGTCTCAGGGCAACTGCAAGACCATCACGGTTTTAGATCTTCAGCACCAGATTGCTTGCGTTCTCAATCACCTGTCAGTCCCCATCGTTGCCACCATCGGCGATCCAAGTGCAAACTGCACTGATTGTCATCATCTGATAGCAGCTCCTCGCCAAAGCCTCGAGGCTGATCTCCTTGGTGCACATTAACGAATCCCCTTGCGCTGCTTCAATACCTTTACAGCACTTTTCCATTAGCCTCAACACTTCCTTGATTGACCCCAGGTCACCAGCTGGATTTGGATGAACACTCCGCAAGATACCATTACACATTTTCCCCGGCACCCAAATATCATCTGGTGGCCCCACACTTGCCAGCCACTCTTGCCAAACCTTCAACACCAATACCTTTGGTTCTTCAGCCATTGATCCCGATATCCTTGGTATATCACAGGGTGTCAGGACCCCCAGCGACAATGGAAGTACACACTTGCAAGAAGGTTTTACTTTATTGAAGCTGAAGATGCATGGACAGGAACACTGTTAGGAATAACAGGTTAACTATGCGCACCAACGGTTATAGTACATTCATATGAGCATTATCCAATTACTACGGTTCCCGCATGCGCCATTAGGCCTGGGAGCTAACTGCTACCCAAAGCAAAACAGGTACGAGCTTCCCACGGCTCTACCTGCCTAAAGCCAAAGCAATGATCTAAGCGACTCCTCCAGTGGCCTTGAAAGATACTCCCAGGCTTGCATGAGAATGGCAATTAGCCACAGAGAAAGGTATGTGCATAGGAAAAGGAAAACACTTTGGCAGCTTGCTGACACAGGGATGCCAGGACTCACCACGCCCCCATCAGGATGAGGAAACAGCCCACTGCATCCAGCATTGTCGACTGTAGGAGATTTCTCTAGGGGTTTGGGGAGCAAGTCTGAAGATGAATGCTCTGGTGAGCATGTCACTCCTTCAGATCCTTCTCAATCACAACCTGTTGCTGAGGACCTACCGATTTCTCTCTCAGAAGAAATTAGATCGTACAGCGATCTGATCAAACATATGGCTCATTTCCTCAGCCTCACCACTGCTCAGCCACAACCTCAAGTGACAGATGTTGTTTTCGACATCATTCAACTTCACACCTCAATGGCCATTGCATTGCCCATGACCCAAGTCCTGCTTCAGGCAGCAAAAATGCATTGGGACCAGCCTTTCTCTACCCCCATTTCTACCAGGCGACTTGACCATATGTATAGAGTCCAGGAGGTAGGAGCTGAATTTTTGTGTGCTCATCCAAAGCCTGACTCCATGGTGTTCACCCTGTCGTCTAAGAGCAAGAAGATGCATTCTATGCCATCAGATAAGGAGAGTAAGAAACTGGACACCTTTGGCCATTGCTTTTACTCTGCGGGAGCCTTGGGTGTGAAGACATCTATGTGGCTTGCATGGGCCGATATGAATATTCTCTATGGGAACAGATGTCAAAATTTCCTGCTCTCCTGCCGGAACAGCACCAGGATGATGCTAGGAGGTTACAAAAGGAGGGGATGATATTATCGAAACAAATCATTAATTACGCCAAATGCATGTTAGATACTTCCTCTAAAATGATGTCTTCCGTGGTTGCTCTTTGTTGTCACTCCTGGCTTCGTACAAAGTCTTTACAGAGCGATACCAAGGCATATATAGAAGACAGCCTGGGCCTTTTTCATTCCACCACTGACTTGGTCTTACAAGATATGGACAAAAGTCTGAAAGCGTCTAGGAGCTTGGGGTTCTCCCCCTCCTATCCGTCTCAGAGATTCAGGCCATGGTCCTGTTCCAGTCGCAGGCCTTATGGTAGACAATCTCCAGAGGATGCCTGGAAGCCTAAACAATCCCAATTGTCCTCCAGATCACATTATGCCCCTCGGACGAAATCAATCAGCACCTTAGCAGAACAAGTTCAAGACGGGCAAGAATGCCAGACAGGTTCTTTGACTCCCCCACCACGGGTCAGCTGAACTACCCCTCATCATTCCCCTTCTCA